AATATGATATTTTAAAAATTTAAAAACTAAAATATTTGAGCCTTATTAACTTAGGAATTAAACTGAAGGTTTATTCAATAATTTTGCTTATACGACTAATTCAACAAATTATTATTATTATATAAATGTAAGGAATTACAAATTCGTCTCTAAAAGAAAGGAATTTAACGGAAGAGGGTTTGAAGCCATTGAATAGTTTTAATGGCAGACAGTATGAGTAATGAAAAGTAAGTGGGGCTATTTACAATAATATGTACATGCTTTAGAAATAATTATCGATGATAGTAGTTAAAATAAAGTAATAATTTTGTAAAAATTAAAAGTAAAATAAAAATAGAAAATGATTTTTCCAATGGACAATGCCATGAGATGTGAGAATGGATGTGACTTGGGCAGCAGAATCAACTTGAAATTTCCTTGCTTTAGGAACAAAAAGGGGTAAAAATATAGGGTTGAAATATGGAACTTGATAAGATGGTTCAATGCAAAATGGCTCAAAAATTTTGCCGCCATTCATTTGTAATTTGCAAAAGACCACACAGGTCTGATCTAGTGTGATGATATGTGTCGATCTGTGCAAAGGTAATAAAATGATGGCAAGAAGAAGAGTCCCTCTTGATTATACAAAACAAAAAGAAAAGTCACACAATAATTCAATGAACTGTGAGCACTTTTACACTCTCATTATAAAAGGTTACGAGGACTATAATATAAATACAAAATTTATATTTGTTTATTTTTAAAAATAATTTTATTTTTAAAATTAAAAATACTTATTTTTAGTTACCCATATTTTTATTTTCTCTTATTTACGTTCATGGAAACAAAGGCTAGCGCAGTATTTCATCATGTCAATGAATGGCTTTTTGCATGTGGGAAAACAGAGGCACTAACGTCGAAGGGTACTTCGTTTGGTCAACTGTCTTTTCTTTTGTTTTAAATGCTGATGCTTTTGAGACCCCACCCCACCCTCCTAATTTGTAATTCGATTTGATTTTCCTTTCTTTAAGGCATTCATGAGTGACACGTGAAAGTCATGACTCGTTAGTCGTTACTTATTTTGTAAACATTTAGAATTATTTATTTAATTTATTCTTAGAATTATTTGTTATTACTATATTTAGTCTATAAAATAAATGTACCCGATGATCGCATTGTTCTTGCTTCCAAGAATTTTTCTGTCATAAACTAATTTGAAGCAAGTCAAATGCGTGGAGGTTGACAAACTGTTGACGGACTTTAAATCATAATCCTAAACAACTAAGGAGCGAATTTAACTATATCCATGAATTCATGTTTAAATACTTATAAATTTATATTTACAAATATTTTAAATTATTTTTAAAAAATATATACTAAAACATTAACTTGCATTTTTGTTAATATTTTATACATAAAAGACTACAATTATTAATTAATTATTTTATTTTATCTAATTATATTTATTAAAAATTTAAAATAATTTATATCAAAACAATTAAAATATTTGTAAATATAAAAAGAAAAACATAACAATAACTCTTATAAAAAGATAATATTTATTTATGGACTAAATCTTCGATTTGGTCTTCGAGAAATTTTGAGTTCAACATTTTAATCATAAAAAATTAAAAATATCATGTTAGTTCTCCACTTCCATTTTCATCATTTATTTTAGCCTTAAACACATACTTTATTAATAAATAGTAACAAAAAACTAACATGTTAAGTAATAACAAACAATAACAAAAAGTATACATATAATGTTAAGTGCATATCTGTAGCTTAGTTGACTGAAAATTAATGTGATAAAACGCTTGTAATTCGCCAAAATGACATCATTGAAAGAAATTGAACAAGTTCCCCTAATTACGTCGTTGGAAGAAATTGAACAAATTTTCCTAATTACATTTACTTCTTAATTCTAAAATCACTTTCTTTCTTAATAGCTCTATAACTTTTATTTCCTCTTCTATCTATAATAGAATCTACAACTTCTCTTTCACCTACTCTTCCATTTCAGTCACCAATAACTTTCTTCAAAGACCCATATTTTAGAAACCTCTCAACCTCAATATTAAGTACCAAAGTTTCAATCTTTCCTTTCTCTCACTTCACTATCTTCACCCACCTTTTGTTGCCTTTGATGGATTAGAAGTGGCTCAAGACAACACAGAGTCCCAATAAGACAAGTCGGAACCAGAAACCTTTGAAAACCCGCAACAAGTGGAAGTGCAATAGGTTTCAAACTCAGACGATGATGGAAGGCTCTATGTTGGAAACTTGCCATTGGTAGCTCTGGGCCTGAAACCAAATTCAAATCAAGGTTCATTGCATCTAAGCCCTCTTCCTCTATCATAGCTTCAATCACCAAACTAAAAAGAAATTTTCTTTATTACAAATTTCAAACAAATTTTGTTACAGAGAAAGGAAAAACAAGAAAGTTACAATTTTTTTCACACAAAAATAAAACTTTATTACAAATCAAGGAAACCTAGTGTTGAAGGGAGGTTTGCTGACAAAATTGATCAATCAGAATAAAAAATTCTCAAATTAGGTGAAAAATCCTAACTTCATCATTTCCAAGAACGAACTCAAATCCAATTACAAGTACTTTGTCACATTCACTTTCAAAACCTCTCAAAATGATATTGTTTTAGCTAACTGGGCTTCTGACATGACACTTAATGTGACATGTCAGCTTTCTATTATTGTCTGTTAATTGAGTCTATCTTTAAAAACTAAAATAAATGACGAAAATAAAAATTGAAAACTAACATAACATTTTTAATTTCTGAAGAACTAAAATGTTAAACTCAAAATCTCTCAAGGAACTAGGGATGACAATGGGTAGGGTATGGGTAGGGTACTACAGTACCCATTCCCATACCCGCGTTTTAAAAAAATACCCATACCCGGCCCCATACCCGCGTGGGTATGAATATTAATCCCCGTACCCGTACCCTCTAGGTACCCGCATACCCGTCTTGTACCTATTACCCGCGCTTGTTTGAGAAAAAAATATTTATAAAGAAAAATATGTTTATATAACTTCACATAAGTAGTATAATAATACAAAAATTCAATATGTAGTTGCCGAACAAGGTACAAATATAGATAAAAAACAAATATTCAAAGATCATAAATGTTAAATGTATCTTAATATAATAATTTTCTAAACTAAAATTTTTAGAAACAACAAGCAAAAACTAAACACACAAGTTATTTGTCAGTTATAATTCTATCTTGTGTGAGATTTGATTGTTGGTAATGTCAAAACGACAACGAAATAGATCTATACAATGGTTGTCCTTTCGTGTGGGATCACTTAGTAACCTCTTGTGACGGCATTAACAATTAACTCTAATGAATAACATTTCATAGTTATTAAGTTTTAGTGAGACAGATATTGAGAATGAGAATAGAGTTAAAGTAGAGAAGTTCAATACTAATAACAGAAAGTTGATATATAAAATATTTTTTTTAACTTTTGAATTTGAAATTGTAAGAAAAATAATAGATTTAATTAAAATAATATAATATAATTAATATATATATATATATATATATATATTAATACTAGTATTTTTTAACTCATATACTATACAAAAGTATTTTATCAAAAATATAAATTTTTAAAAAATTATTTTAGTGAATTAAATATTTATAATGTATATAAATAAAAAAAAAGAATTTGAATAAAAGATAAATAGTTATAATAAAATTTTATAATAAAGAAATATACGTGTATATTAAAAAAATTATACTTTCTTATCTTAAAAAAATTAACAAATAAAAATTAACAATAATTTTTTATATTTATATCTTTTCAAAAACTTCTTTGAATGTGAATAAATTGTAAGAATAATATTATTTAGATTCAATAGATTATAGTTGTACTTGTAATACATATGTTACATAGAAAAATATTATTTTAAATTAAAATATAAAAGTAAAATTTAAATATTATTAATAAATAATAAGTTTACGATAAAATTTATAAAATATTTATAATATATTTATTATTTATCATTCACTTTATAATTTAAACATCAATATGATTTTATTAACAAAAATATTTGTGTAAAAAATATTTTATGTGTGTCATATATAAATAATATTTTAAAAAAGTCAATCTTATATTAATTATGTAATAATTAAATTGTGTTAGCCTAATTAAATGATATAAAATAGTAAATAATTTTTTTTATTAAAAATATAAACCAAAATAAATTTTTTAGTTTACTTTATTTTTAAATATATTTTTATATTAATCTTATATAACTTCACATAAGTAATATAATAATACAAAAATTCAATGCATAATTGTAGAATAAAGTTCAAGCATATATATATATATATATGCGGGTATGGAGCGGGGTGGGTACTTAGATACCCATACCCACACCCATCCCCATTAAAATTTGCAGGTTTTTACCCACACCCATACCCGTATAGCGGATAAATATCTTACCCATTGTAGGTAAATTTTGCGGGTGCCCGTTGGGTACTTTACCCATTGCCATCCGAGGAACTAAAATAAAGGTTTAGTATTTATTTAGAATTATTTAAACATGTGGACTAACTCTCTTTAGACAAATCAAATCAGGTTAAAGTAAATTAATATTTATATCACGTGAAGCCAATTCTTGCTGCCTAAGTTGATAATATTGGATGAAACAATTTTTTTTTCAACTATAATTTTGTTACGTTTCTATTTTCTACAATTTTTTTTTCTATGACATCACTCTATATTTTCCCCTCTTCCTACCCACTACTTGCACCAAGATGTGTTCAGCCAAACGTGTACCATATCATAATATTAATTTTGTTTAGTTCATTAATTCGTCCAATTTGATTAATTATAAATGGAATCAGATCAGCGCTGAACTTGTTACATCTTGGTTCCAATGCTTTTCTATATTATAAATATTAGCTGTTAAGTACACACAATCACACAGAGGACACTACTAAGCCTCATTGGTCTGAGAAAATTGATTTGAGAGAGAAAAAGAAAGTGGAACTCCAATGGTTCTTACCATTTAGACACCACAGTGAACAATATACCTTGTTTTCCTACCTCAGTTTTCCAATGGAAGGGATTGTGGGAAATTGCTTGAAACTAAATATGATTTTGCTAATATTGTGCTTCACCAATTTGGGCATCGCTTTTGCTCAAGAGCACATGAGCGGATATGGAGAGCAGCCACTGGCGAAGATTGCCATTCACAAGACCGTTTTGGCGCTCCACAGTTCTGCCTCCATTACAGCATCACCCTTTGTGCTGGGCGAAAAGGTTAACACTAACATACTACTTCATTAGTTTTGCTTCGGCCAAGTCCTCTGTTCTTAATGGTTCAATCAACAGTTTGTGTAGTCTGTGTTCTTTCTCCATAAATGTTGAGAGTCAAGAATAACTAGTTTTAAATATCTTCATTTTGCATTATTAAGGAATAAGATATAATCATGTTGACAATAGAAAGGTCAATTTTGTCAAATCAAAACTCGTCGTATAACTGTATCATGTTTCCCCAAAAATGATGATAACAAACAAAGGTTGAAAAGTTTTATGAACGCTGTTGCATACCATCTCACTAGTTTTTATTGTGCCAAAAATATGTTAGGTGGCAGCCCTGATTTGCCTATTTCCTCCTGAATATGTGAGATGCCCCGATTTGCGCTAATTTTCATTAAAAAAAAATTATTAATTTAAATTTAAGCAATTAATAGTAGTAAGTTTTGTATTAAAATTTTTATTACACTTTTACAATTTTAATATAATAAATATATTTTTAAATAAAAATTTATTTTCTAAAATGTTTAAGCTTAGCTGCTAAGTATGACAAAATACTTCCGATAATTATACGTTAATTTTTTTTATTTTAAGCATGTACATGTCTTGATGTATATTTTACTTTCTCAGCAGTTGAAAAAAGCTGCACAAATTAGATGCGTAAAATTTTTAGAATTTGTTTGGGAAATATTTTTAGAGAAAAATAAAGAGAAATGAGAGACTCGTTTAATTATAACTTTTATTCGAAAGATTTTAAATGAGAAGAGAGATTTTATAAATTTTAAATAGCCGTTTGAATATTTTTTATTAATCATTTTTTATTTTTTTTTCTCCTCTTTTACTAAAAAAAAAAAATTGAAATAAAGCTTTCGTTGTAGCAGGGAAGGACTTTAGACGGCCCCAGTATCTTAAGTGAGAATTAGTTTCATATGCAAATAATTTAGGAAAATTTATTCCGACAAAATAAAAATAAAGTCTGTTTATTTTAAATTTTAACAAAATTAATTTGATATTTTAAATGTGAGTACAGATCAATAAATAATTTATTTAGTTGGTAAAAAGAATTAGTTTATATAAATAAGATATAATTTATAAGAATCATGCTAAAAATAACTTTTACCTAATAAAAATGTAACCAAACACGTGTAATTGTGTAAATTCGATTTACTATAATACTTCACTAATTAAAATCACGTTAGAGTGCAAAACAGGCATTTAGGCTTGTGTGTTTGATATGATATATTTTGAGAATTGATTTGATTTACTTTTTGTTTGGAATTTAAAAAAATGAAAAAAAAAAATGATTTGACTTGAAAACACCTTTTTTTACCTAATTAAAATCTTTTCGTCAAATTTCTATGGATTTGAGTGGATTTTGTTTGGTTTTAGTTTAATTTTTTTTAAATAAATGCATGTTTGCCTTCTTAGTCTGTTTACTGTGCATAAAAATAAAAAATAAAATAAGTTACAAAGATTAATTATCGTTTATATATTACAAACATAAATTTGAATTAGAAATGAATTAAAATCTAATTTTTTTAATGAAATCGAAGCAAAAAAAATAAACAAAATTAAATTATTTATTGTTTTCACTAATCCTAGACACACCATGGTTGCAGGATGAGGATACAGCATGGGTGACTGTACAACTGGAGGCACCAGAACCAGCCATTGATGACTGGGTGGGAGTCTTTTCTCCAGGGAACTTCAAGTAATGCCCCAATCTTTCTCATCAGGATTGCTTATTTAGTATTAATTCAACATCAGAAGCAACACTTTTATTTATACACTAAATCGTTAAAATATAATTTATTTTCGAATAAACCTCTTCAATTTTATAATTCTCATTTTATATTTAAGAGACGTTTAAAACAGTTTTTGTGAATCTTATTTAAGCTTATAAAACAAATTATAACTTTAATTATTTTCATAAATTCCGTGATCAATTTCATTACTAAATTCTCAAATGATAAAAGTATGTTAAACACGTCATTAAGGTTTATATATATATATAAGCTGAAATAGTACAAAATTGTAACACTTCTCATAATTTAACGAAGCATTTATTAAGTAAAATTTATCATATAAAGATCAATGACATAAATTTAATATAAAAAATTAATTATTAAAATAAAATAAGTTTATCTTAACAAATTATACTGATAAATTTATTAAATAAAACAAAAGAATTTGCAAAATTCAAATTATTTTTATGCAAATTTTATAAACTCTTCCAAACATCTTTTAAATAATTTTCCCGAATATACTCCTAGTAATAAGTCACACATAAAATTGAAACAACAATGGTAATTTATGAATCTCACTAATGAACAGTTATCCCAATATAAAAAGTACCCTGCCGATATATATCCTTTTCAAGGTGGTGTAGAATACAATTTTTGGTCATGACAATATAAACTACAAATATCTCATTATTGTCGATGAATCAAACTCAAGAAAATCTATTTCTTTTACATGACAGTTCCTCTCTATGTCCATCTAATGGTGGCGTTGGCCGTGTAGAGCAACCATACATATGCTCGGCTCCAATAAAGGTAAATGCAATGAAACTATATATGGGATTAACTTGTGAAAGGACGACAATATAACAAGGGAAAATTTCTCAATTCTCATGTTAATTATTTGAATATATGTATCAGTACAAGTATGCAAACCACTCCAATCCAAAGTATACAAAGACCGGGAAAGCTATTTTGAAGTTCCAGTTGATCAACCAACGTGAAGATTTCTCCTTTGCACTATTTTCAGGAGGGTTATCAAATGTAAGCTATATTTTCTGATCATGTGCTTGATATCTCTAACTTTGCTATCTAAACTACTAAAGCATGCAATTTTTTTGCTTAAACATTTAAAAAAATCAGCATTATACATTCTTAGTGTGTAAAGAGTTTATTTTCATTCAAAACAGATTATTTAATTCTATGCTAAAGAGTATTCATTTGATTGAGCATTGCAGCCCAGACTAGTGGCAGTTTCCAATTCCATAGCATTTGCAAATCCTAAAGCACCCGTGTATCCGCGCCTAGCTCTTGGGAAATCATGGGATGAAGTAAGTTTATCTACTCGCTTGAGACCTTTGGTTTTACTTTTATGTTTTTCCAATTAATTGCTTATAGCACAAGTCTAAATTATCGAAATATTTCTCCATTAATAAGTTTAAATTGATAAGCAAGCAATGACATAGTGCACAGACAAATTTAGGAAAGACTACTTCTGAATTAATGGGTAGGTTTTAACACTTACTATCCTGAAACTGTTTTTGTGAGAATTGACTATGGTTTTACCTTTTACCCACCATTCTGAAATTCTTGTAATATGGAAATTGTCTAACATAACCACATAGAACAATTTTAAGAGAATTTTTATCTAATGCAGATGACAGTTACCTGGACTAGTGGCTATGACATTCATGAAGCTGTGCCGTTTGTTGAATGGGGTCCCATTGGAGGAAGCCAGACACGATCTCCTGCTGGAACGTTGACGTTTAATCGTAACAGCTTGTGTGGTATGAAACATTTCCATGAGCATAGGATTGAACCACATTGGCTAGTTTATTTCAAAGTCTAAGTTTGCATTGAAAAATCAACCGTGTCATGGAAAAATGTTTGATTAGGAAGCATATGTCGTTGCTCACTTTACCCGAATTGCTACTTATTTGCTTTATTAAAATCGAGTGTTATTGCACCAGAGATGAAGAGTTGACAATTTAATTTTGATGTGTATCATAATGAAGCTGTTTTGTTGTTCTACAGGTCCACCTGCTAGAACTGTTGGTTGGCGTGACCCCGGTTTTATACACACAAGTTTCCTCAAAGAACTATGGCCAAATTTGAGGTATGCATTTCACTAGGAGAATGTTCTACGAACAACTAAAATGGGCAGCCAAAAGTTGTCCCCTTTAACTTCGGAATTTTTTTTTTATGTGTGTATAGCATAAAGATAGAAATAATTGTATACGGAATCACACACAATATCAATTTTAAATGTTTAAATAACATAATTGATTCAACTATCCTTAATTAAGTTTCTAACACTATGATGAGTTAGTATAGTTTGTTCTAACGGCTACTGCTCTGCTCCCATTATCCCATCTCAGGTACACATATAGGTTGGGACATATGCTCTCCGATGGTTCTTATGTATGGAGTAAGACGTATTCGTTCAAGGCATCCCCATATCCTGGACAAAACTCATTGCAACGTGTTATCATATTTGGTGACATGGGAAAGGTAATATTACGATTGACTATTTGAAATTTTATAATGATGGAAAGAATGATAATCTCCCAAGAGAATGGAATGAACATTGAACATATAATTATATTTACCAACTTTCTCATGAAAACTTTAATTTTAACCATGATTAATAAGATGGGTGAAATGTTCTTTTTTTCTTCGCTTGTCTTTCTAGGCTGAGCGTGATGGTTCAAATGAATATGCTAACTATCAACCTGGTTCACTTAATACCACCGACCAACTAGTCAAGGATTTAGACAATTATGACATTGTTTTCCACATTGGAGACTTGCCATATGCAAATGGATACATCTCACAGTGGGACCAATTCACAGCTCAAGTGCAAGAGATTTCATCAACAGTGCCTTACATGATTGCAAGGTTCATTTGAGTACAACAATTTTATGCTATTAACATTTAAATCAAATTTTGCGTCTTTTCGTTAGTATAAAGAATATTCGTGTTATTCATGCTGTAGTGGAAATCATGAACGTGATTGGCCAAATACTGGATCCTTCTTTGATACTTCGGATTCAGGTGGAGAATGTGGAGTTCCTGCAGAAACCATGTATTATTTTCCTGCTGAGAATAAAGCTAAATTCTGGTAAGTTATTACATTAATCTAAATGCAAACCATGACAAATTTAACGTTAGTATATAATATCTTCTCTAATTAGATTGTGTTCTATTATTTGAAAAACACTATTCAACACCTAGACCTACTTTCGTACTTTTAGTCATCATTTCCAAATGTAGTACTCTTTTTTCTTTTAATTCCCAATAAATGATGAAAAATGGAAATATGCAGGTATAAAGCAGATTATGGCATGTTTCGTTTTTGTATAGCAGACAGTGAGCATGACTGGAGAGAAGGATCAGAACAGTACAAATTCATTGAACATTGTCTTGCAACAGTAGATAGAAAGCAACAACCATGGTTAATATTTTCAGCTCATCGTCCTCTTGGGTACTCCTCTAATGATTGGTATGGCAAGGAGGGCTCATTTGAAGAGCCTGAGGGAAGGGAACATTTGCAAAAGCTTTGGCAGAAGTACAAAGTAGACATTGCATTTTATGGTCATGTGCACAACTACGAAAGAATCTGCCCCATTTATCAGGTATAAAATGAATCGGTTTTTTTAAGGATTAATATATAGTAAATTTTAATTGAAAAGAATATGATTCAATGCATTGAAGAAAATAAAAATTATTTATTTATTAAAGTTTATTATATACTTTTAGACTAACAACACAAACAATAGTATATGAATTAATAATGGCTAGGTATACCATTGTGTTATTTTAATTCAACCATGAATGCTGTTTTCTAATTATCTAAATGCATATTATGCAGAACCAATGCGTGAATTCAGAAAAACATCATTACTCTGGGACTGTGAATGGAACAATTCATGTTGTTGTTGGTGGAGCGGGAAGTCACTTGTCAAATTTCGCTGCATCACCCCCAGTTTGGAGTCTTTTCAGGGACCTTGACTTTGGGTTTGGCAAACTCACAGCATTCAACCACTCATATCTCCTTTTTGAGTACAAGAGAAGTAGTGATGGAAATGTTTACGACTTTTTTACCATTTCAAGGGACTACAGAGATGTCTTGGCCTGTGTGCATGATGGTTGTGAGAAAACCACTTTAGCATCCTAAACTCTGTCATGTATCGTGACCTCTTTTAATGAAATAAAATTACATGGCGCTTTCTACCAACTAAAAAATAAAACTAGTTTAAATTTTGTTTAATTGCGAATTATATTTCAATTATTATACTATCTAAATTATATAGCATCGAAACAACGAGTGTATTGAAGAATAAAACCGTGGAATCAAATATGCACTAAATAAAATACAAGGACCAAGTTGCTGGCAACAAAAAACCGGACATGAAATGGGTAACATGCATATGTGTGGTAGCAAGCAATTTAGTTGAAGCCTTCAACGCCTCGAAAATAAGCACCACAACTATGACGAACCAAAAATTAAGGTGATAACTTTTAGCATTGGTCTCACTTCTCTTTCTCTTTCAAGACAAAATACTTGTGGATTCTTCTTTCTCGTGACCGAACGGTCTATTCAATTTATTTTATACTTTCACTTAAACAAAAATAAAGATATGAAATTTTACTTAACTAAACCGTTCAGTTCACACAAAAACGAAAGAGAATTCCGATCAAATGCTAACGTACAACCCATGGCGTATTGTGATTCTCTCTGAACCACTCGTCCCAAATATCATGGCAACAGCTACAAAATCTGTCATTTTCTCTCTGCAACAAAAACGCTTTGTGATTTTATATTTATATGAAAAAATTTTAAAAAAATAATTATATATAATATCATACACTAATTGTTAGACATTTAACCAATGAAATTTATTCACGTGAAAGTCATGCTCAGTCTGTCATTTTCTCTCCGTAAAAGGGGCGCATTGGGTTGAGGTAATATTGTTGGCTTGTTGCAGACACGCAGTCATGTCTTGGACCTTTTAAAAAAACCTTTCATCCAAACCCAATTTAGTTAACCTTGTTTATATAAAAAAAATATGGTATAAAAAGTAAATATTTTTTATAAATTAAAAACTTATTTTTTAAAATTTAGAAAAGTTAAATAAAAGAGATAAAAAAAATAAACTTAAATTATTACTAACTTATAAAAAATATTATATTCGATTTTTATATTGGAATTTTTTTTATATATAAGTTTATCCAAACTGAATTATATTCTTTTACAAATTTTGCTATAACTCTTGGAATTAAATTAAACTGGAAATATATATTACTTTAATTTTTTTAAACATATTTATTTTATTTTTTATACATAATAATAATAATAATCAAAATAAAAAATAAAAATAATTTTTTAATAAATGAAAATATTAAAGTAATTAATTTTTACAATTCAAAAATTTAAAGTAAATATTTACTGTCACAAAAAATAAAGTGATTTTTTTTATACAATTTGAGTGAGTTTCGACCTTTCTTAAGTGTCTAACTACATTAAAAAAATCAAAAAAAGAATTTAATATTTTAATTTTCTTAATTGCAAAGAGCATCTTTTCATCTTTCTTAGTCCTATTTTTAGTGCTTCAACTCAAAGTAGAAACTGAAAGCCGCATGAAAGTGTTAATTCCTTTTACACGACACACAATTCAGTAATACCAACCCAATTTAACCCAATTTGCAACACCATCATCGATGCCTTTGACATATCTTGAAATCAAAACCAGAGACCAAACATAGTAAAATTGTTGATATCCCTTTGCTGAGAATTGTATGAGGCTTTCTTCACCAATACTATTCTTGTTGCTCAAGATCATGGAACATGTCACAAAATCAATGTTTGAGTCACCACTTTTTCTCTTTATTTGTCCATTAATGTTCTCACCAACATATACTATAGTGGCAACCAATTAGCCATTGATAATTTGTTAAATAAACCTTTTAACCCCTTTCTTCTTTTAATTGCAATCATCTTAGTTACCAAAACCCCAACCATAGTAGACATTGCTAGCACCCCAACTAACATTGCACCCACCATCTGAACTCCAATTGTTCATTGCAGCTCTGCCGCAAACACCCTCATCCAAACTCCATCACCACTACCTTCGTTGCTCCACCACACCCCTCATCGTGACACCGCTATGAACCTCATCAATTCCTTTACTCACAAATAAGCACCCAAAAATCTTTGTTGTTCAATGTTGCTTCTTCTTGACATCATCATGATTAACCGTCGTAATTTATGTTGGTTGTCCTTATTCTCGTTCAATGCACCAAATTATTAACCAAGTCTCCAAGTCTCTTAAGTGGATTGGTGGATTTGTCTCCCTAACGAAAGAGAGAGGCTGAAAATGTTGTCAACAAGTATCAAGATTAATTAAATATTTGTAATTTACAACTAAATCTCAAATGTTAATATATGAAAATATAAAAAAAAAAATTGTATTAAATTCATTAAATATATTTTATTTATCCGTGTAAGAGAGGCATGTGATGCTCACCTAAGAGCAATCACTTTTTCTCTTTTTGTCAAGATTTATATTGGACTCGGAAGAGAAGAAAATGGCTAGTCCGCTGGAGGTTCCCTCTCAGGAATCAGACTCTGCTAGATGGGCCACGTTTCAATTGTTTCATTTTCGTTGATGTTAGAAACAAAATAAAAATTAAGTTCAACTTGAATTGAAAAAAAAATTAAGTTGTAATTTTTTAAAGTATTTTTGTTCTTATAGTTTAAGTAAATTTAAATTTATCTTAATATTCTATAATAATACTAACTGTTTACTTTTTATTGAAGTAGAACTTTAATTTCAGTTAAATAATAATGTAAAATATTTAAGTATATATACTATTTTTTTTGTTTGAGATTAATTTCCATTGCTCCCTCCCTCGGGTTTTTATTTTTATTTTTTAATACAAGTCTTGTCACCGAGACGCGCAAGTCGTGACAGAAAATTAGGGAACAGCATCGTATAAATTTAGTACATTATTATAACATCGATAAGTAAAAGAGCCAAAGTATTACCAAAAATCTTATAAAAAAACGTATTACAAAAACCTTTAAGACGGTAAATTAGGACACACGACTCACTTAAATATTATTTTTTTATTATTTAAAATAATTTTTTTATTTATATTTAACTTTTAACATTCGCTTTAAATCTCTGATATAAAATAAATTAATATAAATATATACTGAATAATTATGTTGTCATTACTTTGAAGTTTAAAATACTTCAAGATTTAATAAATGGCAAACTATTTAATTTAGAAAAAGGAATAAACATGACGATTACTCTCAGTGGTGTAAATAAATCGATTTGAGTAATTAAATTTTATTTATAATTTTTTAAAATATTTATTTATTTATTTATTTATTTAATATGAATTAAATTTTAAAATTAAAATAAACTTAGTTTAGAAATTTAAAACGTAAATTTAACTTGTTAGCTTATTTATTATTTATTTGTTTAACAAATTTAATAAAAAAAATTATTAATAATACTTAACAAGTATGTTCATGCTAAAAGTAAAGTAAAATTATAACAAAATATTTATATTCATAATATTATTTAGGATTAAAAATAAAATTTTTGTGATGAAAAACGTGTTTTTTTAAAATAACTACAGTTATTTATTTTAAAAATTTGAGTTTAACTTGTTTAAATAATTGAATTTAAACAATATAAGATAACTCTTTTTTCTTATATAAAGTTAAAGTAATGATGTTAAATAAAATCAATAACTATTTATTGATTTGGAGCAAGAGTTTCTTGGATACCAAATTAATGATTAGGAATTTTTTAAAATAAAATTAACGAATTTTGAGGTTAAGGACTCTTTTTTTAAATCGAATTAATAAATTTTAAAAGAAATTATAAGCTTCAAGTGATATTACACCTCTAAGTCGTTGTTAAATTACTTACTACATTCAATTGATACTTAAATTGTCAAGTGATATTATTAGGACATCTAACATTGAAGTGGAGTAAAAATAATCAATAATTATATGTATTAAAAATTAAAACAGTGTTTTATTTAATTTAAAGATTATTTTAAGCTGTCCTTAAAAAATAACACGAAAATTACGATTTTCTAATTTTAAAAATATGAAAGCCAGTCCCCGTGTCTATCCAAACTAAATCAGGTTAAAGTAAATTAATATTTTAAATGTGTTTGCTTTAGTGTGTTTTTTTTCTTTCCCTTGTAAAAACGAATCCTTGTCTAGCTTGACATGAAATAGAACATTTTTTCAACTATAATTTGTTTACATTCCTAATTTCTACAATTATATATTTCTATAATAATATTTATTACAATTATTTCTTTTTTTTTTCCTGTCTTTCTGCCAAAGATATATTTATTCGAGTGTTAAATCATTATCCTTATTTTGATTTAATTGGTTTAATTCTTACGTTAAATTAATAGTGTATTTAAATATGTATTTAATAGAATTTTTTATCGAACATTTATATAATAAATTTAATCATGAAATTCATTGAAATAAAAAAGTAAAAAATTATTTATTAATAAATTATATTAAAAATATTCAAATAGACTAGAAAAAAGATTACAAGAATTAGAAAGTATTTTCATAAATTCTTTTAGATGTCCTCTAGTAAATACTGTACATAATAGGGAATATAGTAGCTTTAAGAAATAATTACTTATTTAAGAAAAATTCAAAACACTAAAAAAAATAATTATTTTTCTAAAACAAATTAAACTAAACCCTCATTTATTTACTGAAACCTGATTGGCCCTCGCCTGTTGAAGTGCAGGTTTCAAAGGTTTGCTCCTATAAATATGCAGTATACAGAGAATATTACCAAGTTTAGAAAATCTGAGAGAGGAAAAAGAAAAAGAGTGAGTTTCCAAAGAACAAGATAAGTTATTTTCAAACCTCATAATCTTCCACAAGGAAATATTAAAATGGAAGACATTGCTGGAAACTGCTTCAAGCTTAGTATGATTTTGATAGCAACAGCCCTACAAACTCTGGCCCAAACACCGTTGCATCAGCTGGAGCAAGTAACACCAATGAAGATATCACGAGGGAGAGGCCCAAAAGGGGCTACAAGCTGCCAAGTTACCTTAGTGACTTTGTCACCAAATAGAAATTCTATTTACTGATCTAGTACCGTCTATTTTGTC